ATTTAAAAATTACACAAATCACTCATTTGTCCAATCACCCCTCCATGAACAACTTATCTGCATTTCTTTATTATTCTTTCTTCATTCAAGTGTTATTATTTGTTATTTTTCTTTCTTTCTCCTTCAACTTCTCATTTCCTCCCTCGCACTTTGCAGTGAACGACGCGTGAAGAAATCTCGTGAATAACTCCGGCGAATGATGGGACAATCTCCGGCAGAAGACGTACGACCATCTCCGGTGAACTCCAAACTCGCCTTTTCAAACAAACAAAATGGTTCGTCTCTGCAAAATCATCCAGCGTCTGAGAAATCGATTGTGAATATTTTAATTATCTGTTTTTCCATAAAATCTTGTTCTTCATATTTTTGTATAATGAATGAATTGTGAATCTTGTTCTTCATATTCACCAAAAAAAAGTGTCAATAATTACATTTTGTTGTCCACATACTAAGGGGGCAATTGGATATGAATTGCACCGTAAAAAAACCGATCAAACTCAAATTTAACTCAATCACACTATCTTCAATATTATTAATATAATTAAATAATATCAACTAATCATTCTTACACATCGCATCAACTTTAATTCACTATTCATCCACTCACATAATTTTAACTAATCATCACTTCCAATCATTTTTTCCTATTTTTTATCAAATCAACATTAATTATTTTATTTTAAATATTATTTTAATATATCCACTAACAACTAACAATATCACATTTTTTCAAACTTAACTATAGTTAAGAAAAAACTAGTTTTTTACTAGTTGAATTCATAATAAACAATCACGCCCTAACTTTTTATAATAGGTCGTGTCGTTTTCTTGTAGATGAACATAGTACCAATGATGCATGCGTATGATACCCGTTTGTGAGTAATGTAGTACCTTTATTATTTGTATTGGATACTAATTTGTGCTAAAAAGTTTAAGTTTCATTTTATCCAGCTCATATTATGTTCATTATGAACGATCGGCGTCCCAAAGCATAAAAATTCTAGAAGTGTTATGGGTGACCATACCAGGTCGAGTACGGCCTGCGGAATAGTTCGAAGAACCGGGTGAACCGCCAGGTCGACATGACAGCAAGGACACCGGAGGTCGAAGAATCACTATCGATAGTGCCTCGACAGAGAAGGGAGTTCACTAGAAGATCGAGCAACGACTCTCGGTTGGCCTGACAGAAACTCAACCTTGAGGCAAGCATGACGTTGGCATGATCTAACAGATAAAGCCCACATACAGAAACTCGGGTCAACCTGGGTTACAGGACGTTGAGCTTGTCGTACCATTAGTCCGTTTAGTAAGGCAGAATGACGTGAATGCACTACTTAAAAGATAATAAGAGGTTTTATTAGTATCAGAACCACACATGGATAGGACCATGTGGCCTAACAGGATCCTTTTTCTAAGAATATCTTAAAAAAAAGGCACTTAGGCAGTATGAACGGGTAGCTCAGGCAATCGGGCAACTCGGCCGAGCAGTCTTGGCCAAAAAATTCATACTGTTACATAAAGGGGCAAGGTATGATCATCACAACTCTACACTCTTAAACTTACAAACTATACAATTAGTGTTTGTCGTATTCCTCATACTGACTTGATCGTCGGAGTATCTACGTGTTGAGTATATTTTTGGGCATGTGGTAACCGAGCTACCCGACTCGGGTCGT